CTTCACAATATCACTATCAACTTCCCCATTTCTTAGTAAAATTTCAAGCAACGTTATTAGCTGATCTGTTTTACATTTGGAAACATTGCAGACTTTTTGAGTTAGCTCTTTTAAAAGATTTAATTTATTTTTTAAACCCTTACCTGTTAATAAATTTGAAAAACCTCATATTTTATGAAATCTTTCCATATACATGCCCAAGACTTTTCTTTCTTATCATTATCCTCAACAGTCGATTTCTTATCTTATATTTCTGATTCAGTCCAATTTTTAGCCCTAGACATTTGGCCGCTTAATTGCCCTTTTTCTTTCCCTAATTTTGTTTTTAAATCACAAGATTTTCAATCAGAGTAAGTTTTTCTTCATTACGAGCAGTAGACTAATATCTAAGTTTTTGTTCAAATCAAAAATTAGGAATTTTGGTATTTACACATTATCCCGTCGACCGTTGGCTGAAATTTTGGCAACGGTCGCCATTCGTCAGTCGTTATTGCGGAATTCTAAAGGAAATGGTCATCCATAATTAGCGCCAAATCACGTTACTTGGTCGGTCGATGGGATAAGCCTGTGATTTAAATACAGAACCTTTTGAATATCTTCTATGGTTTAGATGGGATTGGCTTTTATTTTATAGCTTTCTCTGTCGTATCAATAAGAAGCCTATAAAATTTCTGAATGGATTTAAATATTTCAGTTTCCTTTGCGAAATCACCTTCATTACGTAGTCTAATTTCTTTTTGGTAACTTCATAGTCTTTAAAACTTTTATATGCTTTTCTCTCTTTTTAATTTTTTATAATCACAATAAAACATACGTTATTAACAATATAAAAACTACACCATGCAAAATATAATTTGCTTCATACAAAATTTCTTTATATACTATAAATGATCAAAATTAAAAGCTATGACAAAGAAGAAAACTTTAAGATCCAAATCAAGACCCTTTCGTGCCTTATTCACGTTTCCAGGCTTGTGATTGTAGAGCAATATGGACCAGGGAAGAAAAAAAAAATTCTTAATGAATTTACTTCGGAATTATGTGACTTAATTCGGAAACTATAAATGATGCATTATACATGTGTGCTAAAAACATTTATGAATATAAATATTCAGAATTACTCTTGCTCATTATCCTTTCTTATTCCCTTATTTATACGTTAATTCCTCGCTTCCATTTTAAATCGATTATACAACTCTGTTTGCAACTTCCCCCTGTTTTCCAATGGCGGGAATGCCTTCAACACAGCTTGTTTGAAAGCTCATACATATAACTCGGTGCACCGACAGGACCTAAGAACACTTTTCTAATACGTTTATGCCAGTTTAAAGCTTATTCTTTTAACACTGATGAGAATATCAGTACCTTCTGAGACTCGGCACAGCGTGCAACATAAAATACACCTCAATTTTTTTAAAAAAAATTGTATTACCACCCTATTCCACCAAATATAACGTTCGGATTGATCGTCGCGATGAACGCTTCTATTAACCGGCCATATCCATCTAATGGATCACTTCCTAACCTGGGGCCAAATCTCGTTGAGGTCAGCACACTTATATCTAATACTGCACCTTCACATGTTCCTTGCACTATTACTACTTTACAGTACGCAACTATCTATACCACCAAATTACACAAAACGAAAAACATTTGCAACAGCCTTTCTTCAATTTTCCTCGTAGGTGCCAATAGTAAAACCTGGAGTGGGTTCCAACTATCTCTGTAGTGTCAATTACCATAAAACTGAGAGGTTACGTTCGGTCTGTGAAGTGAATTATCAGCACAAAAATGTCTAACTATCGAAGAAGCTAACACAGAAATAAAATACTTTTATTCTACTTCACCACTTGTGAGTGATTAAATTAAAACATACAACATAAAATTACCAGGCAGTCTAGACCTGGTTTCAACACAAAGCTGCCTTTTACGAAGGATATAAGTTCAGGAATTTAAATCTAATCTTGCAGAGACTATAAGATTAGGCAGACCAAGACAGAATTTCGAACAAGCACTTACCAAGCAGGATCTAAATTCGGCCTAAAATAATCCTAGCAAGAACAATCTTTTCTCTTATCGACAAGGTAGAGGAAGCAAGCCAAAACTCTCCCACTCCTATTCGTAAAATTCTACTCTTTATTTCGGGATTACAAATAAGTCTCCGCCGTTTTTTTATCAAAAATTGAGCATTTATTATGAAAGAATGGTATGTTATGCTTTATTCAATTTACTGCCCATCGCTAGCCACTACCTTTTACCATCTTTCTGGCAGCATATGGATACCACGTCGGAAGAACACTTCATCTTTCGAGGCTATCATCAAAGCAACCCAATTTTTGGTATCTTCATATGATGTGAAGCGTTGCTCGGACAGCCATGGGTCATCAGTCGAAACAAGTAGTAATCAGAAGGAGCAATATACTGTGAACACAGCGGGAGGGGGAAAACGTCTCATTTGAATGTTTAAGAGAAAGTTCTGACAGGTGCCGTAACATGTAGGTGAACGTTATCATGTAGGTGTAAGAGAATAATTTTGTTATGTTTGAAGTCGTAGTAGGAGCATTTTTCTGAAGTGCTCAGCCCAATCTTGTCTGTGTTCGGTAGAGAGTCTCAGTAATGGTTTTATTCGGTTTGAGCAACTTATAAAACACGACACCAAGTTGATTCTGCCTTATACACAACATATATTTTTCATGAATATTCGGCTTCGTTGTCGATGTTGAAGCATGGCCAGCTGGTCCTAATGATTTCTTCTTCTTTGGGGTATCGTAATGGATCCATTTTTCATCACCAGTGACTATATGATGCAACAAATTCTCTCGTTTGTGCCTGGCAAGCAGCATTTCACGTGTAAAAAAGCGGCGTTCAAATGTTCACGGCTTCAGTTCATATAGAACCCAATTACCTTGCTTTTGAATCGTTTTCAATGATTTTAAATGATGTGAAATTGCTTTTTGAGTCACTATTAATGTAAATGCAAGTTCTACTTGCGTTTGGCGCGAATCTTCACCCAATGATGCTTCCAATTCCGCGTCTTCGTATACTTTCATTCATCAGCTTAGTTCTTTGCCTTCAGCCTAAAATTCGCAGTTCTTAAACTTTTGAGACCGCTCACAACTTCTCTCACTTCAGACAGCCTCACCATATTGTTCTACAAGCAATCGATGCGCCTCAGCTGCAGATTTCTTCAAATTAAGGAAGTAAACCAAATGAACGCAATGAAGCTCATTCGGCTCAAAACTCGATATTTTCGCTCATTCATTATGATGCTGATACAATATCGCTAATATTTCAAGGTTATGTCGTTAGTAGTTTCCAGCCTTACAATGAGACGTTTTACACCAGAAATATTAAGCGTAACTTGGTGGCTCCATTTTTTTCAAACGGCGGTGACTTATTTGTACTCCCTAGAGTAAAACTGTTTACAATTCAAAATCTACATAAATTATGGAATGAGAGAGAGAGAGAGAGAGCCTTCTGAGAAAAAGAGGCAGAAAAGAAAGATTTAAATTAAACTAACATTTCATTAGTAAAACCTAAACATAAATGCCACAACTCATATAAATAACACCTTCCTGATGAATTCTGAAAATCTGCACAAACCTGCATTTTACCTGCACTATTGATAACATTCCTTTAAAAATGCTAGATAACTATTTTTGATACGTAATGTGTATTAATAAATTCTTCCAATCTGTTCTTTCGATTTAACCTTGATTAAAGAGAAAACTGTTTTGGCTAAAATTAAGCTTGCTGTTACGCTTTCTGTTTTCATATTTCTCATTCATTTAAATGGCATAAGGAGATAAAACTGCATAAAATATGATTTTGGGAAGCTATGTTTAGATGAATGCATTTATGTAATTTAATTTAATAATGTATCATCACATATAACATGTCCCCTATATCATTTAGCAAATGTGCTTGTTTTCAATATCATGTCATCGCATATCATTTGGAAAATACACAACAAATTTTAATAGAAATTCAGCTACATACTTCATACAAACCTACTATTCTTCCCCACTGCATTAGTCAGAGATCAGCTATAAGAAATACACTTTAAAAATCTATTATATTATCAATTTTATCATTTTATTCTTACGCATCAGTAACAAAATAGCGTCATAGTTTCATTTTGGATGAATAAAAATTGGTTATATTTAATGCAAATAATAATAATAAAAAAAAAAGCTTCTATGGTAAAAATGGTAAATTGTTTCTATTTTATGCAAATAAAAATAATTTCTTTGCTTTAGTACACTAAAGGTGAAAACAGGATTATGTGTTTAGCTTTAGATAATATAAAAAATTAAATTGATTATTTCATTTTAATTAGACATAAATGGATTGTGTACTGGGCAATTAAAAATAATTTCCTCTTTCAGTTTATTTTCTCGAAGTAAGTGGGCGCATTCAGAAGTCAAACAACAAAAATCAGCGTTATATTTACAAAATTTTCACAGGACTAGATTCGATGGTTTTACCGAACCACCATCCTCAGCTGCAAAACCGCAAATGAATTTCTGAATTAGTATTTATTCGGCGTGTTATTGTGTCTTAATTAAGTGTGCGCATTTTGCATTTTATATTTCAAGGAAATAAAAGTATTTTTTTAACTGAATAATTTTTGCTGAAGTAAAATAGAATGCAAGAAAAACTACAGCATCCACTAAATATTATGTATTTGACCTACATATGAGGAGGAGAAGATAAAGAAATTATGCTATTCTTCATTTTCCGATTACCTGGATGGGTTACGGTCTCAGTTAATCTAGATTACTGGAGTTCAACATTATTTTAAAACATAATTTAATTTGCAATTAAAATAAATTTACTCACTATGTCTAAATAAGCTTTTGTTAGTGAAACTGACATTGAATTGAAAAGACATTTTAGTATGTTCTTCAGCTCCCTGATGCAGATTAAAAGAACTGATAGGAAACTAACAGATTCCTTATACATGAAAATGCAAATTCAGTACAGAATGTCAAAATTACCTCCTTCCCAGTAATAATTCAGTAGTTTCGTAGCCACATCCACACCAGCTCGTAATTTAGCTGCAGGTGTCAAGCCGTGAATTTTAAGATCCATAAATAACAGCACTAAGTTTTCTCGAAATTTTGGGTGCCCTGAAATAGACAACGACATTTGAGTACAAAGGTTTACCATTTCTCAAAGCTCTTAGTACCATTATTACACCATTGATTTTGAAGAAATCAAGGCGAAAAATCTGCTTACTGAGAGACAGTTTTAGTAATTTTTTAAGTGCAATATTTCAGAGTGGTGAGCCATTTTAAGAATTCTCACACAAGTAAAAAACTGCGTAAGCATTATATCTCCTAAAGTTAATTTCGGAAATATACTTCGAATTATCAGAATGAAAGCACTAAGAGCAATATTAAAGTATGCTATATATGCTATCAAATGGACTTAATCACAAACAGCTCAGTAACGCAAATCAAATTTTTTATTACATTTGTAATCATATATTTATAAATACGTTGCATATTTATTTTATTACATTTATAGACTGGAAATTAAACGTGACTTGCGTAATAATCATAACATTTTGAGATAGAAATTGTTAAGTATGTAAGTATAAAAAATGAAAGTAACTGAGCTCATAGTCGTAAATTCTTAGTCTAATTATGCATGTTAACAAAATATATACATACTATGTATCATATACTTTTTTATTTTGTGCATATGTTTCATAAGGAAGTTAAAAATGTTTTCAAAATTGTAATATATATATATATATATTACAATTTTTGATTTTATGGGCCAATTTTTATTTTTATGTTATTGATTTTATGGGCCTTATTCGTTTCATGAAGCTTGATAGCCCTCTAGCTTGAAGAATTCCGACTTTAATTAACAATTTACTATATTTTTCCAATTTATACTTGCTTTCTATGGCTAATTTTTAACATTTTGTGGAATTAGCCATTTTATCTTTCACCTACCCCCAACTTACTTAAAACTCGTTGAGCAAGACGCCATCTTGAACAATTTCTTCATTCCTCAACAGATTGCCACCCCCTCCCACTGAGTCAGGTTTGTGCCAACGGTCAGTCACTTTTCATTGGCTCTTTCACCGTGACGTTTCCTTTCCTTTTACGTCATTCTGCCTAGTTGGTTGGCTACTTTCTTATCTTTTCTGGAGGCAATTGTCCATTTGAGTAAACCTGCTCTTAACAAGAGATGTCGCCAATCCAGGTCTGTTTTTTTAAAGAAATTCTTTCCCCTGTTTTAATTTTTGGTCATAGCAAGACCCATTAAATTCTTTTAATTTTCTTCTTCGCTTTTTATTTAATTTTAATATTTAGTTTTTTACTTCGTTTACAAAGTTTAAACTCTATAAGCTAGTAGGTCTTCCCTAAAAATCTTGTATTTTTGACTAATAGCAAATCGCTATTTATTTTATTTTGTACATTTGCCTAACCAGGCCAAACTGTATAGTTTTTCTTACACCATTAATGTTTTCTTTCATTTGCATTTTCAAGCGGACGCGTCGGGAAATGAAACAGAAAATTGAGACTAAAGTTTTTTTCAAAGTTGTTTCAGTTAATATTCAAAAAGTTTCGTGTACAGTTGTCTGTTTTGACGAAACGCGATATGGAATTAGCTGGAGTCGAAAATCATTATGTATTTCTCCTGAAAAGTCAATAATGAGATTCGAATTGGGCTAATTTACCATTTACCGCTTTTTTTTTTTTTTAATTTTGCTGAAGTCTTATATCACGATTGTATTTTATTCAATTTTAAAGCTTACCTTATTTTAATCAACATGTTACTTCCAATTAGATTTGAGTTTTTAATACGCTTTTCATTTGTAAATATTCTAGTGATAATTTTGTATTTACACTTTTCATTGCACTTTATTTTACTTATGTTAAAAATTTTTTTTTCACCGGAACCACAGTATCAAAGCCACGTTTTAGCGGATGAATCAAGAATATTCTTTTTACATTGTTTTCTAATTTTTGCAGCTCAATGCGCATGCGCAAAATTCTTGACCACAAAGGTCTTTTTTAATTTGTTATCCTTTCTTTAATTATAGTTTCGGCGAAACGCGTAATGGGGTTAGCTTGATTCGACGTTCAAATAAATGAAATTTCCCTTGAAAAGCCAGTTTGGAAGTCGAGTTGGGCTAATTTACCATTTTCCGCTTACCTTTTTATCCGATTCTGTTTTTTTAATGTTTTACATGTTTAATGGTTTGATTTTCATATGTATTAATTTTTTTAAACGTGTTGAACTTTTTGGAGCAACAGCTCTTGGTAATTTTTATGCGAGCTTACTACATTTTTTTATATTTTACTTATTTTGCAGCATATTGCGCAAGATGTTTTCTAGACCAAAATTAGTTTTTCAAAATTGTAATTACTACCTTGCTTGATATATGTTGATATATATATATATATATATATATATATATATTACAATTATATAATTATATATATATTGATGTATGTTACATACATCAATTACATTTTATATTTTTATGATAATTCTGTTTTTAAAATTATGTACTAAAGATTTATTTGTGCGAGATTTTATAAAATTGGGGTAATCGCATCATTTATTTGAGGATGGAGTGTAACTATGCATATATTTTTAATTTTTCTGTTTCAATTTTCATTTCATTTTATGGTGAATTTTATCTTTAAGTGCCCGAGAGATCATGCGGAAAGAAATGTGATACAGTTTTCTTGGATTATTCAAGTTTTGATGTTTCAGATTATTCTCTCTTGAAAAATCGGACTGGAACATAAAAATACGAATGATCAATAACATATTGTAAATTTTAATATGATTGGTATGTTCACTTCATAATTTGTTTTTTCTAAAATGGTAAGGGAACATCAGCATCTTCCTAGAATGGCTTAAGCTACTTCTAGTAAATTATTAATCTAAGCTTTCTATTACATATACATTATACATTCCTTTTATTTCATAATGAACTGTCTCAGACTATACATGCATCAGTTCTATTTCTAGTGAACTGTTAAACTGGATATGCCCAGTCGAATGAGAAAGACTGAAAGACTTCCCAGAGGAAAGTTAGAAATATTATCAAATTAAAGTTTGAAATGAAGCACGGAAGAAAGCCATGTAATATGCGCAGTAGTGCTCCAGTGTCCACAAGTAATACGTTTCAATGCCAGCTGTGTAGGCATGAAACCGAAGATAACAACGAGCGCAGATAAAACAGAATATTCGTGTAATATACATAATTATGGTTACTTTTAATTGATTAATCATGCAAGTAATACATTATCAAAATTAAATAAATGAATAACAAAATATTTTATTCCCTACAATTTATTAAATGCTGCGTTATTAAATACTTATTTAATAGGAATTAAGGAAAAGTACATTTCGCTCTAGAGTACACGCTCCCTAATATGTATGAAAGCAAAGGATTCTGATATTTTAGACAATTGACATAAATGAAACGAAAAAAGCTGTTTTTGTTCTGTAAATAATGGCATACTTTTCCAAGGATGTGGAAATAAGAATCCTAGGTTTTCTTAGCGCTAGTAGTACACTAATAATGCTAACAGTTTCCATGTGTATGGGTAGCATCAATACTCGTATATTTACCAGTTCTAATAAATGAGACCTTTAAGAGTAGGATAACTTCAGTAACACATTTTTAATGAATATATAATAAATGCTGGAAATGAGACTGGAAGCAAATTTAAAAAGAAGTGGGAGTATGGAAATAAACATAAATCAAATATTCTTTGACATCTGTCCAACATATATATGGCTGTCAGCATTATATATGAAGCCAAAGTTTAAGGAGCTTTCTGTCGTTTGAAAACAAACAAAGTTTCACAATGATCATTTCCATTCCCCGTATTTAGTTACATCAGCTGGAATACTGTACATAGAAACATCTGACGCATTTGAGCTGCTATATTTCGACTAAGTTACGAACTGTTATCACTTCGCTTGCATTTCGAAACTTAACTTCTTACAAAGCTTAAGGCAATATTTCTGCGTCTCTCAACCTCTAATAAGCAAATGCATTCCTTTTAATCAAGCACGATTATTGACGATTTTCTGTCATATCTTACAATATTTATAGCATTTGCGGCGCATGTCGTGCTTGTTCAAAATATTTCATACTACTGAGGTACTGTATTAATCCAGATACTGCAAAAAGTTGAAAGCCTTTGTTGCACCATTTAATGGTTCAAAGGAAAAAAGAAGTACCTTCGACGAAGAGTTATCGCCCAATCACGATTCCAGAGGCTGCCTAATGTCTCCGCGGTGTCGGCCGATGCGGACGCCGGTGAACTAAGATCTATAGTGTGCGCCATCGTCAGGGAAGAGCTTCAGAAAGTCCTGCTGCAAGTTCAGGGCTACACGGAAATAGAACCCGTAGCACCGAATGACATAGCATCTGTGGTCCGGGAAGAGGTTATAGAGGCGCTGGCACCACTCACAGGAGCAGGGAGAAGCAAAAACACTACCCAATGTTCACTTCCAGTTAGGTCGCAACCAAGACGTGAAGCCAGCCAGAGAACTGCTCCACAACGTAGGACAGATCTGTGGAGGACTGACGATAATGTACCTCTCTGTTTTCATTGCGGACGCCCAGGACATGTTCTGAGGTACTGTAGGGAAAGACGCCAGATATTTGAAAATGCAAGAGCCGCAAAGACGTCCAACCCTCGACGGGACAGGGATACTGAATCTACATACAGCTTCGACGACGAATATGCACAACCTAGTTCTTCCCGAATAAGGAGCAGTTCACCTTATCCGCGACGCTCTCTCAACCGCCGACAATCGCAGTCACCAGTACGCCGTTCCAGCCGTTCCCCACGCCGAACCAATGAGGAAAACTAGCTCAAGCGACCTGTACAGGAGGTGAGGCCGCAGTTGAAGAAAATCCTCCGACGTACACCACAGCCAAGTTGGAAAAGAAAAACACTTTTATCACCGTGAACGGACAGTGTGTGAAAACCCTTGTTGATTCGGGTGCCGATTATTCTGTCATATCTGAACTGTTACGTCGACAGCTAAATGCTCCTATGTTTGCTGAGAATGGACCTGTATTGAAAAACTGCCTGTGGTAAAACTGTAGCTGCCTCGGGACGCTGTGTATTAA